TACCGAATATGGATTTGAACATTCAACAAGCAGTCCGCACTATCACCAAGCAAATGGCGAAGTTGAACGTTTTGTTGCCACTGTRAASAACACTCTACAAAAATGTAATGAAACAAAAGAAGACCCAGCGATGGCACTCCTAGCTGTTCGTARCACTCCAATTGCCTCCRATCTACCTTCGCMAGCACAGCTCATGTTTCAACGCAAAATTGATGATGGACTTCTATTAAAATCTTCTACTCTTGACAACTCATCTGAAGTTCTCACTCAACACAGGCAACGTCATATCCAACAATACAACAGCAAAGCACATGACAAGCCAGACCTTGAAATCGGCCAAAGTGTTCGCATACAAAACCCTACTACCAAACTATGGGACCCAGCTATTGTCACACAAAAGCTATTAGAGCCAAGATCTTATGAAGTGCAAGCCAGCAATGGAGCAAATTATCGCCGTAACAGAAGGCACATAAACACTACAGGAGAACTCTTTACAAAGAAGGAACCACCGACAGATGATACACAAGAACCAMCACCAGATGCCAABCCCATTKTATCKRCTCAAGATGTTCCACCTGGAGCCACTATTACCCGATCAGGACGCATTAGCAAACCACCAAAGAAACTTCATTGTTGAACTTTATTTCAGACATTTATATCCTTGTTACATTGTTTAGTTATTCATATTTTTGTTGGACTTGTCAAATTATCAAGAACCTTAAAAAAGGGAGGAGGATGTTATGATATACATAATCATATGCGTGACGTAATCCTGTAAACCGGTCATGCGAATCAGTTAATAAACATGGCGCTCGACCACTTCAACACAAAGGTTGGTAAAGGTCACACTTGGGTCTTTCCTTTTTTTTTGGAAGTCGATAGTCAAATACTTTTGAAATTGTGAACTGACTGGTCATGGCAGTCGGGTTGCTTCCTGTAAGCTCCCGTTTCATTTTGCTGGTTTTGCTTGTTTTCAGCTTATGTCCTGCCAAAAATACTTTTAACCTATTACCAAGTCACAGGAGTTTATTCCTAGCACTTAATTTAGACAGTAGAGCATTTCCTGAACGAAGCTGTGTTCCTACGAGAAATCCATGTTCTACGCNATACCCCGAATGCTTCAAAGATATTGGTGCACTCCCAGGGACATACAAGATACCCATACGAGAGGATGTTGYCCCATGTAAAGATGCTCCGAGATCTGTAYCAGAAAGTCAACGTGAACCACTCCGCAAGGAACTTCATCGCATGCAAAGCATAGGCATCATCAAGAAAGTTGATCAACCAACCGATTGGGTGAGCAGTATTGTGATAGTCGATAAGCCTAATGGTGATGTCAGAATATGCTTGGACCCCAAAAGGCTCAACGATGCTATCATACGTGAGCACCACTACACCCAAAAGCTTGATGACGTGCTACCACAACTGAGCAATGCCAAAGTTTTCAGTAAACTTGAYGCCAGATCTGGATACTGGAACRTTATTCTAGACGACGAATCTYAATTGCTCACGACATTCAATACGCCTTTCGGTCACTATTGTTTTAAACGCCTACCATTTGGTCTTGTATCAGCRCAGGACATTTTCCAAAGAAAGATTGACGAAACGTATGATGGATTGCCAGGTATCATTTGCATAGCAGATGACATTGTTRTCTACKGTCAGGACGACAAGACACATGACCAGAATTTAATTCAAATGATGGAACGCACCAAGGAGCGAGGACTGTCACTGAACTCTGACAAATGHCACATCAGGCAATCCAGCATTTGTTTCTATGGACACATTCCAACCAGTGAAGGGATTAAACCAGACCCATCAAAGGTTTCTGCTATCAAGGACATGAAAGCTCCACAGAACATTACACAGTTACAATCTTTCCTCTCATCAGTGAAATATCTGGGCTCGTTCACCCCAGACCTCTCAAACCTCTGCGCACCGCTCAACAAACTCACTCGAAAGGACACAGACTTCCAGTGGGGACCTGAGCAACAAACAGCCTTCGAAACCATCAAAGAGTCAATTGCCTCAATCACAGTACTTGCGTACTTTGATTCAAAGRAACCAGTGARAATTCAAWGTGATGCATCTATGGAAGGTCTTGGTGCTGTCCTGTACCAGAACGACAAACCAGTTGTAGTTGCAAGCAAGACATTGACAAGCACTGAACAGAACTATTCAAACATCGAAAGAGAAATGTTTGCTATTGTCTTCTCACTAACACGGTTTCACCACTACACATATCACAAACCCCTCGAATCTATTACAAAGAAGCCAGTCTCAGCAGCCAGCCCACGAATCAAACGTATGTTATTAAAGATTCAACCCTACGACTACACAGTCAACTTTGTTCCTGGAAAGAAAATACCTGTCCCAGACATGCTCTCCAGATCACCACTCCCAGGGCCAGAAATACCTAATCTCGATGTGAGCATCGGATCACTTGCTCACATGACAACTAGTCGTCTGGAGAAGGTCA